CCATGTAGTTGATGTTAACACTATGAAAGAGTTTCTATTGAAACCACCAGCAAAGTGTTAAATTAACACTTTCTAAAGTGTTGACAATATAACACTATCATAGTGTTACTATACCAACACTAAGAGTGTAAGATGTGAACACCAACACCAACGCCGATAACAACACTAACAGTGTTGGCTGCAGCTTCAATTGTACACTGTCCTGGTGTAGAGTAAGACTACAGTAGTGATAATTTATCCCATCTAACACCTTTAAGAGTTAGAAATGTACACTGAGCTAGTGTTGAATGCACATTATACTGGTGTTGCATTTTGCATTAGCCTCAACCCTCTGGGAGTTCAAAATGAACACTAATCTAGTGTCAAATGTCGTGTATTGGTATTATGATGTACAACAAACTGGTGTTAAAAGTTACAATGACCAATAAATCATTCCAGATATCAGCATATGACAAGTGCTTTATTTGAATGGTGACATGTCTCTTAAGACTGACACATTCTTCCAATATTCAATTCAACTAACATTCAATATTGTTCAACAGCAAAAATGTATATAAATAACCCTCTGTGGCAGTTGAGGTCAGGCAACAAACAACCTTTTTGGACCACACACACACACACACACACATGGGGTCTAGCCGGCCAATCACAAAGCTTTGATGCGTTCAAGTGCATTATTCTGGCACAGGAAGATTATGTTATAGGACATTAATGATAAAACAGAATATTGTTGTTCTATTTTTAGACACATCTCGCGATCGACTGGGAATCTCCCCGCGATCGACCGGTCGATCGCGATCGACTGGTTGGGCACCCCTGGTTTATAGCAATGAAATGTGTGGTGTGCTTGACACTTGCATGGGGATAATCAGCATACAATACAATTGAGAAATGTAAAATAGACCCTTTTCTCAGCAGCCATGTTGACATGCTGCGTAAACAGAGATGTCATTTAGGATGTAGGCAGGCCAGGGCCCTGATAATATGCTGTCTCACTGGAATGGCTGTGACACAATAGATCGGGCCAATATTTATTTGATCTATTACACCTGTGTTTACCCTGATATGACGTCAACATAGCTGCTGAGAAAAGAGTTTATTGTCGTCACTCACCACCACTGTCATTCAGTTCATCTTTGATGACAAAGCATATTCCACTTCTGTGCCGGTCTCATCCTCATCCACCACACACACACACACACACACACACACACACACACACACACACACACACACACACACACACACACACACACACACACACACACACACACACACACACACACACACACACACCACACACACAACACACACACACACACAGTCTTTCAGTACAAAAACAAATCTATGTTATAGACAGTTGTTTGCAGAAATGTGTACATGCTTTTGAGTGCTGGGTCATAGCTAGTCCCTAAGACAAAGTGAAGCTTAAAAAGTTCATCAATTGCTGCTCAGGAAGTGGTAGCCTCACAGGGGATGCGCTTCTTGTCGATCAGAATGAAGAAGTTGCAGATGGCCTCCTTGCTGATCCCTGAAGCAAGAAGATATGGCTGGCTTGTGTCGATAAGGCTCTGAAGGTGCTCGTCCAGACTCCTACAGGACTGAAGGCAAGCAACATTTTCATTTGACATGGCTAACTATGCGCATGTATGTGTAATATGTGAGTGTGTTTTTAGGAATAGTTTATATTTGCACTAGCCTAGTCCTACTTTATCATAGTGACAGCTCTCTGTAGTAGTTCTGGTGGCTAGATCTAACATTCTTAAACCTGCCACATACCTTGTGAAATACGACCAGATGGTCAATGGCCTGAGTATGATCTTCTGGGTTTTCTTCCTTCCCGCAGGCTGGGGTGACGAGAGGTGCAGAAGGAGGAGGATGGATGCCATATCACTGTCCCACTCTGTAAGAAAAGAGAACAATGATAGAAAAAATGTTTACCCATCTGTATAATGTCCAACAGTTCATAGTGCATGTACAAGCAAAATACAAGACATGAACACAATAAAGTATGGAAAAAGTGAAGTGGCCTGAATACTTTCCAAACCCACTGTACCCTGGCATTCTCCCACTGTGTGGTCATACACTCCCTCCAGCCTCACACACACCATTTACAATAGGCAATATGACATGATAGGACAATGCAGTTCCAGAAACCATACCTGGTGATTCCAGTGATGGCTTCATCAGCCCTTTGGTTCTTGGCAGACAACAACAAGCGCTTCAGCAAGGGTGTGGAAGTCAGCATTTCTGCCTGTTGGATGACCTTTGCTTTGAAGGAGGTTGGCCACTTTTCCAGTAGTTTGGATGGAGTTTTCTGACGACTGAAGTCTTGGAGAATCTAAAACACATACAGCACAAACGCAAGAACAACAATCGGGTTTATAATTTACTACTAATGCCAATTTCACAGGTGTAGATCATCTCCATTTAACTGAAGGTTGCTTAAAACGTCTATCAAAATAGATTTACTAATAAACAACGATTAAACTACCCTATGTATACAACTACAGGAATTCTTAAATGCAGTGGCATGTTATAGAAATCCCACAGCATTCAAGGAACCATGTAAGCCATCTAAAACAGTCTACTTTGATCATAATCAAGAATAACTCACATATCCTGTCTTCCCATGTGGATCTTTGAGCGAGGGAAACAATCCCCAGTGCATACTTCTCTTTGGTCAGTCGCTGAGGGATTCTCCTGTAGAGCAAAAACACTCATTTTCAACATTTCATTCATTTAAGTCTAAGAGACTTAGTTTTAGAACATATAAACTTAATGAACTCAATGTATGTAGATACAATTGCACCAACTTCATCCACACTTAACCTATACATACATGACACTTTCATGCAAAGCTATAACAAACGGATGGCCAGACGTCACTAACATGTAAAACAATGGTGTACATGACATATTGAACATGCACTCACATTTTTGGCTTGTGGACCCTCAAAGCCACTGGAGACATCCTTTTCACTGCTGCTTTTCGAAGTGACTGAAATAGTATCTGTGCCTGAAGCGGAGGATGAGGATGGCTCTGGAAAATAATGTCATCACACAAGAGATATTAAATATGGATATTGAAATGATATGGTCTTCCTTTGTCATGTCTATATGTAATCTACTGGTGAAGTGTGAACCTCCATTGCAAGTATGAGTCCCAAAGTCATTGTCCACAAGAGCGCACTCTACTTGGGAACAATACTTACACAGCAATGGTGGTTTTTAGTCTAGCAAAAGCTTAAGAACAAGGCTTTCAACAAGAACCCCAAGTAAGTACAAAATTATGTATTTTCACTAAATCAGTTGAGTATGCCTGTACCCATGCACGTGTCAATCACACCACACATTTGATTCTTATAAACAATACTTTATCTTTTAAGATAGTATTGTTTATAGCAGGGGGTGCCCAACCTTTTTTGAACCGAGAGCTACTTTTAAAGTTGCCAGTCTGCCGAGATCTATAAACCAGGGGTAAACCAGGGGTGCCCAACCAGTCGATCGCGATCGACCGGTCGATCGCGGGGAGATTCCCAGTCGATCGCGAGATGTGTCTAAAAATAGAACAACAATATTCTGTTTTATCGTTAATGTCCTATAACATAATCTTCCTGTCCAGAATAATGCACTTGAACGCATCAAAGCTTTGTGATTGGCCGGCTTGACCCCATGTGTCGGGGCGTGGCTGGTCGGCAGTGGGCACTATTTCGCTGAGGTTGTCCGTGTCAACAGGAGTGACAGTCCGCACACACACAAGACCGCAATTATGGCAGAAGCAAAAAAAGCCCAAAATATATAATTGTCACTCCGAGTGGGAGGATGATTACTTTTGTATCTATTCCAATTCAAAGTCCATTTGTCTGATCTGCGATTCGAGCGTGGCTTTATCGAAGAAGGGTAATTTAGGAGCGGCATTTCAAAACAGTGCACAAACGCTACGAGACGGAATTCCCTCCTGATTCTGCCCTACGCTCCAAAAGGGGAGGGGCCTGAGAGGACAGCTAAATGCACAGCAGTCCATTTCCACCAGGCCCAACAACAAGAGCAAGGCTGCTACCAGAGCATCTTATCATGTCAGTCACGTTCTTGAGAAACACATGAAGTCTTTCAAAGACGGCGAAGTTGTGAAAGAAGCATTCCTGGAGGCTGCCGACGCTTTGGGGGGACAGTAAAAATAACAGAAGCATTTCAACAGGTTTTTGATATAATAAAAACTCAAGATTAGATACCGTTATTTATCAGCTGTAAGTTTTAGTTTGTTTGAACTTATTCATTATAATTATTGTACAAAATGGTATAAGAATGCAAACTTAAATTGGTTATAGTCTATTAACAATTCAGGTTAAGAAACTAGTGTTGCTTGCATCCTATTTTAAAGGCATTTATTTTTATACTCGACTAAAATGCAACAAAAAAAAGGTTTGATTCTATTAATGTTGTCTTTTTTATTGCATGTAGCTTCAGATCTGAGTTGTTTTATTAATAAGCCTAATTTATACTTTTGTAGCAACACTATTTTTATATAATGGCAAAGAAAGGGTTCAGAGTCTTTTCTTTTTTCCCTGTGTCATATGTGGCAGCACTGTTCAATGTTTCTTGAAAACATTACCCACTGTAGTGACGTGTGAATAAACTCCAACTCTGTATCAACAACACTGTTGTGTAGCTTCAGTTAAATACTTGTATGTGTGTAGATTAGAAAGAGGTAAGATAAAGGATCTGCAGTATTTTATGAAGTATTCATTGTACAAAGGTCAGTTTTATACAAGTAGAAGTGTGTATTTACCTGGTAGTAGGCTGTCAATAATGGCTACGCCTCTATTTGGACTGGTAGATCTCGGCAGACTGGCAACTTTAAAAGTAGCTCTCGGTTCAAAAAGGGTTGGGCACCCCTGATCTAATGTAACAGTAGGTTAATGAGGGTGGATCACAAAATTCCCCTCTGTGGGACTAATAAAGGTATTCTGATTCATATGCAGTAAAGTGGTTTACTTGCCTTCAGTGATGAAGATGTCAAAACAAGCTTCTGGAATTTTGGTGTACTTCTTTTGGTTTCGGTATTGCACTTTGACTCATCTTCAGCTGAAGAGAAGAGCAAGAGCCCTATATGGGTAAAATGGAGATACACAACATTTGTTATAAGTTATTCGATTTTTCACATGATGCATCACAACTTTCCCTTCTTAAGCAAGCAAATACTCAAATTGTGGGGTGGCATAATATAAATTGGAACTGTCTTTAGATAAATAAATTCTACTTTATGCTCTGTTCTTTTATTTTTGTATCTTTAAGCTGAGAGGCTTCCATCTGTGCATGATATACTTTTCGGGACCAAATTAAGCACAGTGTTGGTGTGTTGCAACCCAGTCTCACGGCATTTTGTGTTATAGTCAAAAAAGTAATCTATTGATTCGTGTTCACCAACACGATTTCCCCATTGTTTTCGTGTCACACAGAACGACTTTGAAAGCAATGTAAATAATAACAAATTAGAAGGAAAAAGAGATTTTAAAAACAAATACAGATTTCAGTATTCTGACACAGACCGATTTTAGAAGCAATGCATTTGTATTGATAATATGTTTCGTGCCTGCACCAAATAATAACAAATTACAAGGAAAAAAAGATGACAAAAAATACAGATTTCAGTATTCTGAGCCTCCGAGCCATTTATTTTCCTCCGACATTATACCATTTAAAATAAAAGGGTTAGGCTAAGGGTAAGATATTGAGTAAGAACATGTTTTTATGAACCACACAGCTTCTAGTCTTCCAAGAAAAAAAAAATCGTTCTGTGTGACACAAAACAAATGCGAAAATCGTGTTTGTGAACACGAATCAATAGATTAAATGTATGCCGTGAGACTGGGTTGCAAATATTCTTAGCAAGCTAGTTAACATTATTAGCTACCACAAATAACTACAATCATTTTCAAGGGAAATTAACTAATGTTAGCTAACTGGGGAACAAATTCAATTAAATGTAACGTTATCTAGATAACGTATCATCACTCACTGCATGCAGTGCTGTTGTCGAGGCCACACAAGAGGGCTGCTTCCGCACGGAGCAGAAGAACACGTGCTAGAAAGGAAAAGGAGCCAATTAGCCAACAAGGTCCGTGTACTTTTTGTCAGTTTGATTTTTCGTTTAAACCAAAAGCCAAAAAACGGAAATACCAGCCTTTTTCCGTTTTTTCGTTTTTGATTCAAGATTTACCTGTGACAAATGTCAGCGATGTGAACAGAACTGTCACCCTACTTCCAGCAGCAAGCGGGAGAACAATATCTCATACAGTCGACCCCTAAAACAGTTCACACAGTAATGGAACAGTTGTTAAGCATTATTTTGTCCAACTAGTCTACATTATGAATTTGATGTTTGTCTAAACTGCTAAGAAGCTGACAGCTGAGTTAGAACAGAAAGACATGCAGGCCATAATCACTAGACGCTCAAAAGAGGAATGTGTAAGGCTTACATGAACTGAATTGAAACACTGTCCATTAGTTGATTAATAAACAAGACATTCAAGTCAAAGTTTTAGGCATTTTCATTTGTAGCTGTAAATATGGATTATGAATGAACACATGCAATGTGGAAACACACAAATAGGTTTATTCTCAATACTCATAACAGTATCAGACACAATGACTTTACTGAGAGTGAAGATGACATGAACATAGTTACTGTATGGTACTGAAGACATAATACAGTATATTGCATTTACCTCTTCCTCTAACTCTCTCTCCAAAAGTGGCCTCCATTGTTGTGCACAACAAAGTGTTCAAGCTCAGGTTTCTAAGTGATCTCATTTTAACATGTGCATTCTGGGTGCAGGGTTAGTAGGGCTAACCCATATCTGTTCAATAGATGAAAGGCAACTTGAGTTTAATAATTGTGCCAAAAGTACCAGTTTGTGTCTTGGTAATTGCACAAAGCTGTAATAGGCCACAAATAATCACATTTTTCTAAAAACACAGCAGCAAAACCTATTTTATCCACCCAAAAATGAAGGCCCACCTGAAAAAAAATCGCTATTTTTAGCATTAAATAATGTACACTTAAACTGATATAGCTTTTTTGGTGGAGAAAATAAATGTTGCTTTTGCCCACGTCCTCAGCAGTACATGGCTCTGCTGTGCCGGGGCTCCATATGTTTCTCCACACGACTACTGTAGGTAGTACACTGATTATGGATATATACTGTAGAGTTATATTTGTATTTATTCATGTTAGCAAACTATGGATAAGCTTAAAATGAGAATAATTTGGGTAAAACTGTGAGCTGCATTTGGGGCCTGTTGACATGTGTTTTTGAGGACAAAGGAAGATGGGGGAAGGTGAGAGCATGTCCTGATTTGCATTCAACTTAGATCTAGCTGCAGTGGTTTGTGATATTAAGAGAGGTCCCTTGGGTTTCTCTGGTGCTTATCAATAGTAGCAGTTAAGTGAATACTGTTCAAACAATACCTGTGTTTGTGTTTTATATTGATTTCTCTGTTTTATCCTTTCATAAATGTAAGGACTACAAATGGCTATAAACATTCTGGGCTGGTTGGAGTAAACAGGGTTTTATTGCTCTGTGGGGGAGGTGTGGGTATGCAGGCCTTGAGACCTTTTGTTGGAAAGTGAGCCTGTTTGGTTTCCTGCTGCGTTTCCTGCTGCGTTGCGTCTCCCAATGAGATGACCTGAAAAGATGACCAGCTGACCTAACACCAAACCCCTCCTTCTTACTCTGGTATATATCCGGTGGATCCCTGGCGTTCGGCTCTTCTTCACATGCTGCCCTCGGGTGAAAGTAGCTCTGCAGTATGCGGACTAGGGCAGGAGTAAGCCGGCATTACTCCTTAAGCATTACAATATAACTGTAATATATCATGTTGTATTGTAATGATTGTATTGCATTGTCATATTGCCATTAAAGTAGATTATTGTTAACGGTTACTTTGTAGATATGGATTCCTTCCTGTATTATAACCAGCTTCATAGGAACGCGCGGAGATTTGAAAAGCGGATCAGATATCCCTTTAAATCTCCAACAAAATGGTGACCCGACGTCTATAACGAAGCTGAGGAAGAATTCAGACGCTTTCAAACATCTCAGACAATCAGCAGGACTCTGCAACTTTGCAAATAAGGTAAGCAGACGATGAAAGTCGCCTGTCTGTAATTGGATACGCTAAAACTTTAGGATTGTCTGTAGGCGTTTCACAGTGTTTTTATAGTTTAAATGGAATATACAATGCATATTTTACTATGTTAGGAAAGTTATATACAAAACGTAAACGTTGATCGACAGGTAGACGAAAGTCCTGCGTGACGTAAAATAGAGCAGTTTGGCGTGGATCTGCAGGTAGATTATTCCTGAGTGGCGTAGAGATGGTGCAGTTTGTGTGAATGCGAGGTTTGAATCCTGCACGGCAAAACCTGGAAACTCGATAGATCAGATCGAGTCGCCGTTTAAAACTGGGGTTTAAATAACAGACCAATGCTAAAAGCTTAAAGCCAGAGGTCTGTTATATATTAAACCAAGGTAGAGCGTTTCCCTTTGTCTGGAAACTTCTGCTGCTGCCATCTAGTGGCTGAAAGGGGGTATCACACCCTTGAAACTTCTGCTGCTGCCATCTAGTGGCTGCAAAGGGGGTATCACACCCTTGAAACTTATGCGAGCTTAGAGTTTAATCATTACATTGCTGGCCGGTATTGAAGACGGGAAGCACGTTCCCAGTATATTAATTATAACTGATTTTGGTAAACTGGTACAAAACAATAAGGGATTGAACATTTTTTACAACGACAGCACCAGGAGATGAGTAAACTCAAGAATCTGTAGAGTGTAAATACATTGTGCAAAACACATTTTACACTCGAACTGTTTGCAAATTTAGACAATATAAATAAATGTTCAGAAAGAAGACATAGGCCTACACTTGATTCAAATTTCATTACTGTGATCCGATTGGTGTGCTCTGCAGGTTTACTATTGTTCGAAGTAACAGTGGGATTTAAAATGAGAGAAGATATGGAGATGTTCTTTCATAGTGTGTGGAATATGTGATGCTGGAAACATGTAAGTATTTCAGAGTTGTGTTGGGTAAATATGTAACAATGGATGAAACAATTTTTGGAGGGAGTTTTTGTAATATCATAAGTAGACATTAATTATGTTGTTTAGATGGCATTTAACAACTAAGACAGATAGTATGATTAGAAAGAGACAGAGTGGAAAGGGTTGGATTTATTTAACATCAGTGGGCTAGACTTCTTATAGGTAATGTGTACCGGGACCTGGACTCCCCCTCTGAGTTAGAAAGGCTTTGATCCCGACCCTCCAAGCAGACAAAAGACCTAACCCAACAGGAGACTCCTCCTTCTCCATCGTACAGACAGAGAACCAGAGCTGAACCAACAACAACAACAAGACTACATCAAGACTGCAGCCAGAACTATCTCCACCTGTGGCATCCAGAACCAAACCAGCATGCTGACAAAGAGGCAAACTCTCATCGGTCCCTCAAACAGGACATGAAGTTCCAAACTGCGCCGCGAGATTTGGCACAATAGACATGAGAGCAGAATCCGCCCTCCATAAAAACAGCAGAGAGACTGTAAAGGAGGAGTGCAACAACAGTGGCATGATGGGGCTGCAGATGTGACTGGGCCAATGGCGGCCTACAAAAGTTACAGTGGATGGATTCAACAGCTGATGGACTGAAGAGAAGACAGAATCAGAGGAGTTGGCATGGTCGATTAGAAGTGAGGAGGCCGGGGTCACGGCTTGAGAAAACCAGGGGAGGAGGAAAGGAGAACGGGAATGAGTGAGTTACACATAAACACACTTATTCACGAAACGCACATTTAAATAACTTGAATTAACTTCATAAAGACAGAAAGATTTATTAATCATTTGGTAAATTAAAAATAGCAGTAAAGAGGAAACTATTAAAGTAAAATGATAATCATCCTAAAACACACTGACAGAGTAGAACCATATTCTTCAATATTTTCATCATGTTAACAATTCATTCTTTAAGACATTTTTATTCACGTGTGAATAAAGTAGTGATCTCATTGGTTACAATATTGATCACCATTAAAAGGATAGTTTTAGGAACCACTCTTATAGGACAAATCTTTGTTTGTATTAATGGCTAGTGCCAAGCCACATATTAAATTCCAATCTAAAGTGTTGATTTCACCATTGTGGCATAGTTATTACCAGACTTCGGTTTTAAATCCTTGATAAAGGAGGGAGTAATTGTTGCATGTTCGGACACCCAAGGTTCCACACACTGCTAAAGAGTTTAACATCGTTTTTTAAGTAGACCAGAATTATAATGAGCTATGAAATGCAGAGCGACACAGATCCTAGTAATGTTTTGACTCAAGATAATAGTTATGTACAAAAGTTTCTGAAATAGATCATTAGACATTTTAATACTAATTAGGTGTAATTGGATTGCAGTAGTAGTGGTACTCGAAGGAAGTCAGTTTTGTACCAAGTTTCAGGAAAAGTGGGAGGCGGAAGTCCCAATGACAAGTGAGAATCATCTTGAAAATTATAGTTGAAATCGTGACATATTTTTGTAGACAAAGGATACTGGCCTATGCTGAAATGTCAAAGTCTCTGCAGAGCACGACACATGGCCAAAAAAGACGGAGACCAACTGACCTTTGACCCTGACCGACAGTGTCACTTGACAAGGCACTGTGGATGACTGACTCTGGGGTGAACCTGACCAAACTTGACATGACAACCAGACAGTGTGAGTGTGAATGAATGCCGGCATGTGATCAGTGTAACTGCATGATTCTAAAACAATAACTAACCAAGCATGTTTTTGGACTAACATATTATTTTGGAGCTCCAAGGGAAACGAGAGGTTTCCTAAAAATTCCACAAAAAGGGGAAACCGCACATGTGATATTTTCCTCTCACATGAGTTGGTGGTTTGCAAATGTAAAACTAAAAGCTGAAGATTCTGTTTCTTTTAGGCCTGAAGGACGGAGAGGAACACTTCTTTTCACTGAAGTGTTCACTGTGGAAATAATGATAATAATGTTCGTTATGTCCCTAACCAATTACCTGACAGTTTTTGTTCCCCTCCCATTACAGGCTTTTGTTACACATGATTTCATGTGTAAAAAGGGGGGAGTGTGTATAATGTATAAATGTCAACATGGCTGTAAAATTCACAATTTAAATTTTTCTTTTAAGGACTGAGCATTGAATGTAATTAACCTGCTCCATATCTGGGGATAAGATACTGTTTGATGAATGTTGAGATGTTTCTAAATATTGATTTGAATTATAACAGGTAACAAAGAAGCAGTGGCCAAGGGGCTACTGTGAAACCGAAGAAGTTGACCTGTGATAGTTAAACAATTTTGTAATAT